CAAAGGTACATATACAGTCAAGGGCGTCGATCCGTGGTTGAAAGTGGGGGGGGGGGGACGAAATGAAAATAATGAGCCTTGGGCCGTAGGCCCAAGCCTTGGTTGGGGACCAGGGGTCGAAGCCCCCGGAAACTCTGGCGCACATAGCCTTTTAATTGATTTTAAGCAATGTAATTAACATTTATTGCCATACGATATTTTCAAAATATCCAGTGGCGGATCCAGTAATTTGAAATAGAGCTGGGCCCAGAGAGGGACTTTTACAAATGGAGAGTGTAGACCACCTCAGCCCCACCATGGTTGGGGCTTAGGTAAGAAAATTGATGATTATGGCACCTCTAGTTGGTCGGAAATGGCATTCTCAGACTGAATTTGAATTTAATTTTAATTTTTTTTCACTTTTAATTTCGAAAAAAAAAAATTGGGATGGTAGGCCGGCTGGGCCCCTCGAATCTGCCACTGAAATACTCATCATAAAAAAGTTTTTAAAATTATCTTTTTAGTCATAGTTATGCCTGCTTATTCATTTCGTGCAAACTAAACCTTCATAAAAATAATGATTTATTATCTACTGATTAGCTTGTAACGTATCAAAATTCGAACCATGAAAAACAAATAAGATAAACTTAAAACAGTCATTAATTTAGTCTTTTCGCATGTACAGTACTTTTATTTATTTATTTAATTTCATCAAACCAACAGCGAATCATCGCCACTAACAGGCTGGTAAAATATATAAAATTTAAATATATCAAATATATAGACGAAAGAGTACAAAAATCTCACCTATTCAAATGATTAATAATAATAGAACGAAATATAGACATTAAAAATAGAGGTTAAAATAAGAGAATTATATTGAAGAGAAAGTCTAGAAATAAAACTACGTTTACAGACATCAACTCTACAAAAGGGGACATTAAAGGTAGGACAGGAACGAAGACTAGAATTAACATGCAAACGAAACAGATGTACAAGATCACAACTAAAGTACAAGTTAACACATTTATAGAGAAAAACCATATCGTGAAATAAAAATCTATTCCTAGGACACATTAATTTGCAAGGGCGATTAAAACATTTTTCAAAAAACCTAATAAACTTAAAATGCATCCTATCGATGCGAATTAACTGAGATTCGGATGTAGAACTAAAAATAACATAGCAATATTCAAAATGAGAAGTAACTAAATAACGATATAAGGCAATAATGGCATCAGGGCTATTTATTTCTCTACAATGTCTCCAAATGAACCCAAGCATTCTGTTTCCCTTACTAATAAGATGATCAATATGTTTACAAAATGTAAGCTTACAGTCGATGAAGACACCCAGATCGCGATGAACAGAATTTTATAAGGAAAATATAAAGGTTTTAATTTAAGAGAAACAGACATTGATTTACATTTGGAGACATTGAGAGAAAGACCCCAGTGCCGACTCCATGCAACAACAGCATCAAGATCTTCCTGATGACCCCTGGCATCACTCTCAATCCCGACAATACGATACAGCTTCAGATCATAAGCGTACATAAGGCAATGTGAGTTATTGACAAAATAAGGAAGATCATTAATGAATAAATTAAAAAATAAAGAACCAAGGATAGACCCTAGGGGGACGCCAGATGGAACGGGTTTGGATTTAGAACAAAAATCAATCAGGAGGTTTTTGCTTTTCTCCTTTATTTGAATTTCACTTTTGTGTAAGTAATATTGCGACTACACCATTGTGAGTGAAAATAATACCGTCTAATTTACGATCAAACAGGACTAGGGAGGGAGCACACAAAACATTAGTTAGCATTTTGATTTCACAAGCATAAAGGTGATTTACTTAATTTATCATTATCAGTGGCGGTAGATCACCTCAGTAGATCACATCAGTCCCACCATGGTTGGGGCTGAGGAAAGAAATTTTATGATTATGACACCTCTAGATTGCCGGAAATGGCGCTCTCAGACCTAAATTCTTATTATAATTTTCCTTTGTTTTTTTCCATTTTTTAAAAATAATTTTGAAAAATTTAGGGTCGGCTCGGCCCCACTTGAATCCGCCACTGATTATTATGACGTCATTGCGAGATTGCGTCAACGTAACACTGGAGTTTGTAAACTTTTGGTAGGCCTATCACTTAATCGAAATAGACATATCCGTGGCAAAGGCTGTATAATTATTGTTTCATAATGGCTATATAAAATTCAATTGACTAACTATAATTTTTTTAAGTTAGGAAAAACAGTAATCCTATGTATGTAGATAATATTAAACACTAGCATAACGTACGGTCATAATAATATACAAAGGGAATAAATCGTTTATAGTAGTGCACTTTTAAGTTTGTAAAAATATTGGCCTAATAAGTATACACGCTTCCAATTTTAACAAAGTTCAGTACATTGTTTTCACAATAAATTTAGCCTCTGATAACCGTTGCACCCATAAAATCGATCTACTGGTTTCTGAGATGGTTACGAAATGTATAAACAATTCCGTTTTTACTCGGTTTTGGTCCGGAAAATACGTACGGCACTTAGAAAAGCGAACAGACAAAATTCATGAGTCATGCGTAATTGTTATTCTCTCCTTTTTATTTAAAAGTGGGGATTTAATTATAGAAGATTGGTGAAAAGTGAAGGGGATATCGATATGATCCCCTCACTTTGATAAGTGGGGGGGGGGGGAACGCATGGACGCCCTGTCCCCCCACC